GTCGACACGGTCCGTGTCAATTGTCTGTAAGAATGTCTTCGTTTCCTTGCCTTTGCACGGCCGTGTTTAAACTCGACACGGCCGTGTGCAAGTGCAACTCGAGCTAGAAATGCCTTAATCGTTCTGTTCCGGTCCAGTATGCTCTGAAGTCCTCGATTATGCTCCTCTGAAGTCCATAGTGCGCCCATTACCTGTTCAATCACCAGAGAATGCAGAAGAAGCAAAATCCAGTGCTAAAATGATCCTAAATGTCTAATAATGCACACAACCGATGCGAAAGTGCTACACAATGGGCTTTGAAATAGATGAGAAAATCGTGTTATCAAAGACGAAGATTACGAAGCCGAGAAATCGACTAAGCATTCTTCCTTTCTTCTATTTTACGATGTTTGTATTATTGATATGAACCCTGACGTCTCAATGTTTAGTGAGTAGTTCTTTTGCTGTAGGTTAGGGATTTGCTATGTAGGAATCTTTGGTTTCTAATTCCAGACTTTGTGCTTTTATTTATTCTATTTGATTTATTGAGTTGCGTTTAATGCGTTTGATCGTGTTGGCCACTTGATTGAATGAACTTAGGGTTTTAATTCCATAGACATATGAGATTCTAACCTGGAAATAACTCAATAAATAGAACATGTATTGCATTGAGAGATGAATATTTGCCTAGGGATTATGATAGCGTTCGTTCATGCATCCAGGGTTTTATACTATTGAATCGAGAGATTAGTAGGATAAAGTCTGGATAGTGAGGTTAGACTCGAGAGAGTTAATCTCTATTTTAGAGCTTGAATTCCCTGAATTGGATAGATAAACCACTAAGTTTGCATCTTTTGAAAGATCCTTGCATGTAAAGCAATCCCGAAGCCTGCAGTGTTCATCATTCATAGTTTATAGCCGTTTTATCGTTTGTTTTGCTATATTCCCACATCCACATTATTTTATCCGGATTTAGACTTGGATTTGGATTTGATTCAATTGTTTATTTGTCCACGTGTTCGACCCTAGTTACTACAATCGAACCGTACACTTGCGGTATTTGTTGAATCTAGGATATTATTACTTGACCAAATTTATACATCTAGATTTGCGACATCATCGAGCCTTCTCGGGTTTTTTAGAATTCTAAGAGTTTTTTGTTCTATTGTTTTCCAAGGTGACTACTACGGATGAAGAGACATTTCATTTTTAGGTAATAAAGATGATTTTTTTTTTTGTTTTTTTAATTGTTATATTTTATTGACATTTTGTATATCATTACCTCAAAGAATTAAAAATATGATAAGATAATAATACGTTATTTGTAATTAATTAAAATAAAAAGAAGTAATAGATGTGTGTATTGGGCTCTGTATCACATGTACGTTTTTTATTTTTTATTCTACTAAATATCATGCATTTATCTATTTATTTCAAAAAAACAATACAATGACATTTTCTTTTTATGTAATAAAAATATTTTTTTTAATCATAATAATAAACTACCAGCATTTTTTTATATCATTGCCTCAAGTTTTGTAAATAATATTTTATTTTGTTACATTTCTTGACATAAAAACATCAAGGAATAATAATTTTTTATACTATATCCCACAACCTAATTTTATTTTTTTTATTTAACTATTAAATTTTATATTTTAATTATAAACCAATAAAAATTAAACAAATAGGTGGCTTACCAAAATGTAAACAAATAACAATCATATTAATATATAAAACTAAGACCAATTGTTTATATAATAAAGATGTTTTTTTTTTTTGTTTTTAACTATATTAATCTATAAAACTAAGACCAAAATCTCATTGGATTTTTTTGTTTCTAAATGAATTGATAGTTTATTATAATTTTTCCTTAATTGTACTTTTTAATGTTGGGCCTACGGCCCAATTATGGTGCAAAAAGGAATGAGGCCCCAAGTGGCCGAAATGTTGCGTTTCGGAGGAAACAGGGTTCCTAACCCTAATGTAAAGTATTTGACGAAAAACACGCACGGTGCTCGAGGTGAGAGAGAGAAAGAGAGGGAGAACGGAGATGGCGAAGGAGACAAGAGATCTATGCTGACGGAGGAGCTTCACGGCAACGCCGGAGCTCGGGATCGACGGTGACTCAAGATAGGTGAGTCGAGGTTGGTAAGGCGTCGCATATTTCTGGTCTTTCTCGGTTGTTTTCTCGGAACATCGGGGTGAGTCTCCGGATTTGTGGAGACCACCGTCTTCGGTTATTTTCCCGTCTCTTCTAGTGGATTCGCCGGCACCGTCCGACAGAGATGTAGGCCCGAGCTCCGCTCGGTAACCGAACTCGTTAAAACTCCGACTGTCTTCTTCTTCCTCACACGTACGAGCGCCGAAGAGAACCGTGAGGGTTCGATATCCACTTCACAAAGTGGTATCAGAGCTCCGGTTCCGATCCAAGGAGCATCGCTGGTCAGGCGAGGTAAGTTAGGGTTTTCCGGTTTCGGTCTTTTTCTTTAGAGTCGAGTCTGTGTGAGTGTGCAAGGCGCAAGATCAGAGCGAGATCGGCGCCTATACAGAGATATCTGAAGGTTTTTGGAGTCGGCGACGACAAAGATCGGTAAGATGAAGCCTCTGTGGCGTCGATTCGGCCAAGACTTGTTTCGGAATCGGAAACCAGGTGAGTCTTTCGACTCGGTTCTTTATTTTCCGTGTTTTCTCCGGTTTTGAGACCGAGTTTCTTTGGGTGAACTCGGCGGAGAAAAGTCCGATTCCGGCGAAACTCGGCCCCTGACTCGTTCGAGTTAGGGTTTGAGTGGAGGAATCGGGTGAGTCAACGACCGAGTCAACTCGGGTGACTCGGCGGCTAGGGTGGTGAGTCAACGTCCGAGTCAACTCGGCAGACTCGGCGGCTAGGGTTTCCGAAATTAGGGTTTCGGATTCAACCGGTTTAGACCGGTTTAATCGATCCAATTTCGGTTTAACCCAGTTTGGGTGAATCAAACCTGGTTCGATTCGATCCAAGTCCGGTTATCGGCGGTCAGATCGGGTTTGACCTGGTTCCGTCAGTTCAGACCGGATTCCGGCCGGTTCAGTCCGGCTCAGACC